GCATTTCCAAATAACATTTTCTATTTCAGATCATTTGTTTATAGTACTAGAATAGTTCATTACCACCCGAGACAGGTTTTTCCAAACGCGACAGCTTTTTCGCATGACTGTATAATTTTTTCAAAATATTGTTTTTATTTTTTAAAATATCTTTTTTTTCCTTATTATTACATTATTTTGAAAAAAGAGATAAATATTATAATTATTGGAAATCAAATGTTAACAATAGAATAACACAAACATTGTATGATTCAACATTTCAAAATGAAAAATCATATGATTAAAAATTTCATTTTTATATTGTGACATCATTATTTAATCTGTAAAACAAAAAGTCAAAAATATTATCATTTCATAAACAGTTAATAATTAATTTACGTTGTAATAAATTTATTTTGTAAAATAAAAACATTTTAAATAAAGTCAGTCTGGAAACCTTATTTATTCCAAAAACCTTATTTATTTATTTTCCTTTGAAAAAAAAGCATTTTTGGGATGTTTAATAAATATTACTATTATTTAAACTATTTTCCAATAACACAACCAAAAACATAAATGGTGTTTAAGTCATTTATCCAATCATTTTTCTGTTTGTCAATAAATGGTGATATTAATGTTGTAATTTACCAAAAATAACGGGAAAATACACAAAACAAACTGAGTTTTTTGGATCATTTTTTGAAAAATTTCGCTTTTAAACGGGAGTATTTATCAACATTTTTAAGAAACTTTCTCGGAGAGCAAACAGACACCCACAAAGTTAAGACAATTTCTCGTGAACGGATTTTACTCGACCGCTAAACTACAATTCGATGTTCGAATCTGCCAATCGTGGTGTTCTTTTCAATTATGATTTGTCTCGTTGTTTTTTATTTTTATTTGATGAAATAGAAATTGTTTGTTGTCGAATTCTCATGTTGTGTCTATCATTTTACACAAAAAAATTTGCCCAACCATTTTTACAACAACGGCACCATTTTTGTTGTTATATACGATGTTTGAGCGTAAAAAATCGAATTGGTCAATTTGTTTAAGTTCGTTTTGATTGAAAAAACAAAGATTACAAACAAAAAAAATAAAATTGAAAAACAAAACTAAATAACAAAAAAAATAACCTATTTTTGTCGATAAATAAGGTTTCCAGACTGACTTTACTATTAAGATTATTATTCAGATGTTTAATTTATTTTAGTATTAATTTATGTAATATATTTTTGATGCTTTGTGTGTATTGTATTAAATTATAAATTTATAAAAATTGAAATTTAAATAATATGGTATATAAATTTTTTAAAACAACCAAATATAATATTTTTGTACATATTGAAGTCGTTATTTTCAACGTATATGATCTGTTTTTTATAACAGGAGTTAATCACAGTGAAACTTTCAACTATTAATCAAAATAATTTATAAATATTTCTATTTTAAATAATACTTTAAATTTTCACCAATTACAAAAATCAAAGTTTAAAAGGTTTAAATACTCTGAAATAAAAATGTAAAGTGTTCAGAAAATATATTAAAGATGATGATGAAGAAAACATTTTTACAAAAAGAACACGAATAAGAAGTGTCGAAGTCTATGTTTTACATCTTTAACAGAAAGCTTGAAAAATAAAATTAATAATGTTATTCAAACAAAAGCAAAATGAAATTTTTTGTTTAGAATAAATTCTACACGTGATTTACGGCATTATTTGTATTCTAAATTCATATGTCAACCACTTGCTGATTTGTTTAAATTGTATGTATAAACATCTTTAATGTGTTATTTTGAAAAAGACCAAGAATATAACAAGAGAACAATTTTTTTTTATAAAAAATATTGAGAAATATTGTTGATAATACTTTTTGTTTGAGTTTTTAAAACAACTATATCAAATATTAAGGCAGTGAAAATACTTAGAATTTATCAAATGACAACTTAATTGATTGCTTAACAAACGTTAATTATGTGTGTGGAATATGAGAATTAATAATACTTTAATAATTACATTTGCATTGCTTGTTTTAAAATAACATCTCATGTAACAACCATTAAATTTTTAACACTCACAAAATTCTCAATTTTGTTATGTTTATCAAATGTTCAATTAATTTTTAAAACGTGTTTTTATTTTTCTAATAATTTTATTTTAATAAGAATATATAATTAATTACATCTATTTAATTTAACTTTTAATTATAATTACATAATAGATAAAAATGTTTGTAATACATTTGGAATATGAAAATATTTTAAACATACCCGGGTGGTTTTCGTTTTTGAAAGAATACAAACTTTGTGCATATATGTTAATTTTACCCATTATATAATTAAATAGACATTGTTATTTTTTATATTTTTAAATAATACAATCGATAAATAAATTATTATAAAATTATTAGATTATAATAAATGCTTTTAAAGTTAAGTTTGTTTTTATTTCAAAATATATTAAATTGATAAACGAATAATTTAAATTAAGATCAAAAAGACCAGACAGTGCCAAAACCATTGTACATAATATGTCAAGATTTATTTGCTATTTTAGTATTTGTTCTAAAAATGGACTGTTTTGTCTTCATTCATTTTTCAAATGTCCAAATAATTAGTATAAAAAGAAAAATGAAATTCTGTGATTCATTCAATGTTCTCTGTCTTCCTGTTTATTACAGCATCACTCGCAGCTTATCCAGTCGACTTACAGTACCCAGTCCCATTCTGGCATGTTTTTGTTGGTATAGACACGCATTTTGGCACTTCTTTTAATTACGAAGTTGATGTTCCAAACAACATCGGCAACAAGTGTTACACAATCACAACTGGTGTTTCTATCAAAATTGAAAATAATCAGTTGAGCATTTTTGACAATTCGAATTGTAATGGGTACAGAAAAACATACATGGATGCAAATGAGTATTACAAACAATGTGGCATTTGCAACGGGTTTGGAATAGCTGGAAGCTCATATCCCGCATATATGGTGATTCCCCTCGACAATCCAATCATGGTAAAATACGTAGTTGATACTACTGAAGCCAATTGCCCAGCTGGCAATTACATTCCATCTTACATTCTCTCAACACAAAAAGAACTTAGCTTCAGTTACATCTTGGGTGGTGTTAACAATGTTTACAACTTTGGGTTCAGAATCAATCAAACTGACAAGAACCACATCACAGGTGAGTGGCTGGACAAACTTCCATCAGACTCAACAGCCAAAGTGTTGTTCTCAATAGAAAACAAAAAAATGCATACTTGTTAAAAATCACTGGGTTAAAATCGAGTTGGACACTTATGATGTTGACAACTGTGAAACTGTCAAAAAAAACCTGGTCAATGCAACAAAACAAGAGCCGCAGTCGATCCTGTTGAACCTTCTAAGCCAGTAGAACCATCACAACCAGAAACACCAGAAAAGCCATCAGAGCCAGAAAAGCCAGTGGAACCTTCAAAACCAGTTGATCCACCAGTGACTTCCACAGAACCATCAGAATCGGATAAACCAGTTAAACCCTAAGAAGCAGTCACTTCTGTAATTCCAACCGAAAATTCAGAAATTTCAAATCTTGATGGTGCTTTGTCCATGACAATTTCTGTGTTGATTGGAGTAGTTGTTTTGTTAATGTAATCCATTTTCATTGTTGTTGTTTTGTTATGTAATGCTAGTCATAATACAATTGAATAATATTTAAATTATATTAAATTAACATGGATACTATCTGATTTTAAAATCCGAAATATGCAGTATTACTATTTTGGTCTGGATACTTTTCCTTGTGTGGAATAACAAGCACAATTTTTTGTTTTTTCTTCTCATATTTAGTCCAACTATTTTAATTGTCAATTTATTCAATCTTATCTGTCGTCTGTCTATTTGCTTTAATCATAATAGGCTTTTCTTTCCTTTCTTTAAATTCCTTTTCTTTTGTATATCCACTTTGCTCTTTTTTTTGCTTGTATTTCCTTTAAACTTTCCTGTGTTTTTCTATATTTAAATACTTTTGGATATCTATAGGAGTATTTACAAGTTTATTTAACACAAATATAAAATACGAAGATCTATAATGCATGCACTCAAGACTTTTCTCGCACTGTTTATATACAAAACAAGAATTCACATTATAAAACGATTCAAAAAAGTGCAAAACTTTTTTGGTTCAAAATTTTCAATGTGACAAAATTCTTTGCAAAAACATTGAAAAAATTTGTTTTTATTCAAAAAATTCAAATAACTCCCATCGACTCCCAAATCTTTTAAATCTTTCAAATCGCAGTCAAAAGTGACAAAATACTCTCCACAACAATTTTTACAAAACTTTTCTATTTCCGTCTTCGCCAATTTATTTTGAGACTCTTCTTGGTCTTCATAGAAGTCTGAGAGGACAAGAAATAGTTCAATAGAACTGCTTGAATCGCTCTCCCCATTTGGGAGAACATGTTCAAAACATTCATTTTTATTAGAAATAAATTCGACCATCCCACTCGCTTCATTTCTCTTTACAGATATGTCGCACAAAAGCAGTTCAAAAACTTTGTCTTGAGTTCCAATGAAGTTTGTGAACATCACAACGAAGTTATTTCCAAATGAAAACGGCGCCTTTTTCTCATTAAATACTTCGATTGTAAATCACTTGAGGAATTTTATTGTGAAATGGATGGGGATGTTGAAACGGAGTAAAATGGCATAAAAATGTTAAACATACTTTCCGTCTCTTCTCTCGAACACGCAAAACGACTTTCAACCGTTTTGTGGTAGTCGCATCTTTCGTCAATTTTTGAATTTTGAACAACTTGCCGATGTCTTTCTCAAGTTTTTTCTATTATAATTGATGTCAAATTTCTTCAAAAGTGTGTCGAGCAATTTACCGAGTGTAATATAAGTATAATCGTTAAACATTTGTGGCATCGACGAATTGTCCTTGTCAATACCTCTCAAAAGGGACACAACAATTCTATCTAATATATAATTATACCCTTTGTCGTATCGTTGAAAAACAAATAAATGAACTTACATATTTTTTGTTAGCATTGAAGCAATGGTGGAAACGTTCAAGTGCGTCTTGAGGTGATAAGAATGAGTCGGAATAAGTTATTCCGTTGACTTCGAACTGTAGTGGTACAATGTTCTTTTGCTCTATTATTGTGTAGAATTTGTTACCTTTAATATGACCAAAAAGAAAGACGGTAATTATTGAAATTTCATTCAATTCGGGGTTCACATTAGATTGAGAAAAGTGTTGCACGGAGATAAAATGAATTTTTGTGCTTTCAATGTCAAAGTTCTTTTTTATTATTAAATTAAAAGTTTTTAATATAAAGTCTGTTTTCTATTTAGCGATATTCTAAAAATATAACAAAGAAAAAAACTAGACCGAAAATATTAAACCATTATTTACTATACTCAATATCGCTAATTAAAAACCATTAACTATTAATAAAATTGTCATTAATTTAAACTAATGTTAAACAATTCCTAAGCATTGACTTTTTTCCAATTCACTTGTTGTCGTCTTCAATTTGACTCACATGATAATATGACACGTCTGCTCTATCAAAATATGACAACATATTCATTTTGGATAATCCAATTGACATAGTTTATTTCGTCGTATTCACATTTCAAGACCAACCTATTCTTTGTTTTGGCTTTATAATTTTTTCAGTTGCCAAGCAATTTTATTTTTTGTTATTTTTAACACACTTTAAAAAAAAAAAAAAAAAAAATACAAACCATTTTTTAGAAAAACCACTTTATTTTTATTATAATTAATAATACTGTTATTATAAGTAATAGTAAAAACCCAATATCGTTAAATAAAAACAGACTTTATATAATTATATTTTATAGTTCTTTTAATGTTTTTAAGTTAATTATTAATTATCATTCTTATAATTATACATTATAGTTTCTTTTGATTTTGAGAATGATGATTATTTTTTTATTGTTTTTAATTAATTGTTTACTATATTATAGTTTATGCAAACTATTAGGTAAAGTATAAAAAAGTTTGTTTGATTAAAATAATTTCATTATTAATTTCTGATAAAAACAAAGGTATTATCAATTTATATAAAATTAGTAATCATTTTAAAAATTATAATATTTAATTCTTTTTTTATAATATTACAGTCATGCGAAAAAGCTGTCGCGTTTGGAAAAACCTGTCTCGGGTGGTAATGAACTATTCTAGTACTATAAACAAATGATCTGAAATAGAAAATGTTATTTGGAAATGCCGAATATTTTTATTCGATTTTTGTGAAATGACCCTGCAAATAAATCGAATAGAAGCTATACCGTATATTAAGTAATTATAAATTTACTATAAAATATTTTTTCAAGACAGGTTTTTCCAGACGCGACAGCTTTTTCGCATGACTGTAAACAAATAATAAATCGAAATAAATTATTACTCGGTACAACACGTTTTATACAAATTAGAAAACACCGTGTTGAATTTACTTAATTATTAATAATCAAAGTTGAATGATAATTTATTTGCTTTCATTATTCATTCAATATATCGAAAAATCTATTTTTACTAAAACTGAATAGTTACTTTTTGATATGTTGTTTATTGTCCTTTTATTTATACAATCGTTGGGTTTTGTGATTGGTCCAACGCCGAATGACCTAACACATGAAGAAGCCATAATGAATAAAGTCTCTTCAATTAAAACAATTAGTAGAATACACCAAAAAATTAATGTAACCAAGTTTTGTTGCTCTGACAAAACTTACACATACAAATCATCAACACCAACACCCATATCATCAGACTTTTATTTTGAAAAAGGAGTCGTTCTAGAAAAATTGTTTCTACAAACATCGAATGAACAAGAGAGATTTTACATCGATGATACAAACATGCCAAACGGACTTTCTGTCATTTTGGGGTGTACTTCCGGTTGTCGATCATTTACTAATGGCAGTTATCGTCCAACTTTGGAACCAATTAACCAAGGAATTGCCCTCTATTCTTATGGAAATGGGAAATGGTGGGTTATAAAACACCTTTACGAACTCTTTTTGTTTGTCAAAGGCACAGAAGCTTCTGACATCACATTTGATTTTAGCAAAACCACTTCACAAATGCAGTACTATGTTGATTCTATAAGATATGCTGCTACTGGATATTTTAATAAGATTGAAATGTACAAAATAGACTCACTTCCCAATTTGAATATATTACCAGTTTGTAGAGTCAGTGCCACAATGGCAAGATACGTTTTGACAACACAGTCTATTATAAAACAAGATTGTACTTGTAATTCTATAGACAATAGTGTCAACATCAATTTCCAAACAAAATTCAATTATCCAGATTGTAACTACAACAGCTCTCTTTTTGATCTCAATTTAAATACGACCAATAGTGTTATTAAACATGAAAAAAGTTACGATTTTGGACTTTCAATGTGGAATTCGTTGATTCTATCAGAAAATGTTTTTTACACTTTTAACTCGACAAATAATCAAATATTAACATTTAACGAATTTAATATGTCGAGTGGATTTTCAGTCTATTTTGACGTTGAAACTGTCATCAAGAAATTAACGATAACTTCAAAGGGAAATTACACATTTAACAAACCAGTCACAATCGTGACTTTCACTCTCAGTGATATTGTAAAAAATCAAATTCTCTTCTACATCAATTCAAATAATAATGATATTCAAACACTTACAGTATGTGGGAATCGAGTAATTCACATGGATTATATTAACATTCTTTGTGACTGTGAATACAACGAAAACAAAACTTTTACTTTTCGAGGTGAAATTATGACCGACTGCACAATAAACCCACGCACTAACTTGAAATTGATTGTTGGGCATAACAATTATATAATACAAAACAACGAAAACTGGGGAGTTATTAATTGTTCTAATAAAGCGATGATATTAACTACAGGCAACAATGTACATCTTATTTCCAATTATTGCTCTTTCACTGAAACTGTCTATTTGGAAGCAAATGTTAATTGTAAAACTTTATATGTTTACAATAAGACCAGAATTATAGTTGACAACTTCACTTCAAATAATTATTATTTGTCAATTACAACTGTTAAAATTATAGATGAGATTTCTAAAATAAATCAAAATGGAATTATACAAATAAGAGGCGGCAAACTATCATCATATTATTCAAATCAAAACATTTCATTGATTTTTCCTGTAAGTGGAAGTACAACAAAATGCGTTGACTTTATCTCGTCTTCCACACCACTGAATGATTTTCCATTTGAAGTTACTTCAACAAAGATATTGTTAGGGAATAAACTGTATCGTGTTTGTTATGGAGGGGACAACAATTTTGATTACACAATTCGATGCAATTTAACAGGAAGTGTTTTTTCAAAATTTCAAAGTTATCAAGATGAGGTGTTGCATTGTCCCGTTAATAATATCAATACAACCGTCATAGTGTCAACCAATGAAGTTGATTTGAATGAATCGTTTTCTGGTACTTTTGATCAACAAGAAACAGTGACAAAGTTCAATTTTGAAATTACATCAAATTATAACTTCAAAGACTCGACAAAAACCGTTTTATTTGTTCAAGACGAATCTGTTGAAGGAAACATTCTTAACATCCAAACGAATTTTGAAAAGCTGTTGCTTGGAAATAAATACAAGTTTTCAAATACAATAAATTCAAATAACTTAAAAAATGGCAATGAATACGTTTCAATAGAGTACAACTCGTCTAATAAGTGCAATTCGTTATTAATAACTAATTTGAATTCAAAGTGCTTGCATTGTGATCAGTCAACTGTTTTAGCCAATGGAAAATGTCTTGATTTCAGTGAAAAATGCGTTTCTCGACAACGGAATGGAACAACCACATATTGTGAAGAGTGTGAAAATGGGTTTGAACCTTACAAAGAAAAATGTAATAAATGTCCTAATCACTGTCTCCGATGTTTCAAGTCGAATTGTTTGCTTTGCAAAGTAAATTATCAAATCAACTCGTCGTTTGGATGCTCAGAAGTCGAAAATAAAGATACCACAATATTGTTCTATAATATATCACGTGTTTACAAATGTAAAGAAGGGTATTATAATACAAACAGTGATTGTACAAGTGTGCTCACAAAATGTGTATTTTACGCAGAAGAAACCAAATGCAAAATTTGCAAATCAAATGAAATTTTGAATGCAGAAGAAACTTGTATGACTTTGAATGGGGTTATAACAACAAACAACAAAGTTCCTCTGGTTTGTGAGCAATCTTATTATTTATTTAACAACACGTGTAAACTGTGTAATGAGACGTTTGGTAATTTGTGTCAAAAATGCACAATAAACAGTTGTGTATCTTGTGGATTAACAGGAGTAGTTAATACCGATGGATTGTGTGAATCATTTGGTTCAAGTGAGTGTATAGAAAGTTATAACACACATTGTCGTGGCTGTTCAGACAAATCCGATTTTATCAAAAATGATGTTTGCATTGAAAATATCAACAATTGTGATGTTACAAATCTGAATGGCAAATGTGTGAATTGTGTAAATAGGTTTTATCTTGACTATAATACACAGATGTGTGTCTCAACACCACAAACAGTGAACGATTGTGAGACTTTGTATTTCAAAGGCGATCGTTGTGTTCGGTGCAAATCGACGTTTTATCTCACTGAGAACCACACATGTTTAAAATGTTCTGACAATTGTTTAAGGTGCACTTCCAGTTCAAATTGCATATTATGCGACAACAATTTGATAGTCAAGAATGGGTTCTGTGTTTCAGGATCTGATGTGTCAGACAATTGCAGCAAAGTGGTGACAGGCACTTCGATATGTGCTCTCTGTGTTTCAAAGACGTTTAGAAACGAAGCTGGAAAGTGTGAAAATTGCTTGGAGAATTGTTTAGAATGTCACAGTATCAAAACGTGTACATTCTGTGAGTCGAACCACTTTTTACTCACAAATTCAAGTGCTTGTATTTCGTACGACAATTTGACTAATTGTGAAGATAAAAGTGTCCGTGGGTGTTTAAAGTGTTCCTCTGGCTATTTCGTTGAAAATCAATTTTGTTCTTCTTGTGACTCCAAAACGACAAATTGTGAAAATTGCAATTCTGTTGGGAAGTGCACGTCGTGTAAAAACGACTTTATACTTAATGAATCATCTGAATGTGTATCAAAGAGTCAAGTGGATAAATGCGTTGAAGTCTCGGATTCAAAATGCTCAAAATGTACTTTTTGGCATGTTCCAGACAACACAAAGACGAAATGTATTGCACAAGCCGTATGGTGGGTCATTCTTTTATGTGTTTTGTTTGTTATGGTCATCTTTATTATTTTCATTGCATTGTCCATCTTCGTTTTCATTGTAATTTTGAACCACCGCAAGACAGAAAAGTTACAAGAGAAGTATTGTTTATTTGATATGAAGAAGACAAACATCGAATTTGTCAAAACTGATATAGTTGATATTGTTGTCAACAAGACGTGTATCGAGTTTTGTGGAGCGACAGAAGAAACAACTAAAATACCAGTTGCCACTGAAAGCCGCGAGTTGATTTGTGTTGGAAATGTCGGCAAAAATGTCATTAAAGTGCAATTCAGTCTGAAAGATAATTGCACAAAATACTCAATCCGAACTGAACCCAAAATCATGACAATTCCAAAAGGAAAAGCAATCGAATTTGAAGTTTTATTAACACCGAATTACTCGTGTATAATAGAAGACAAAATCGTATTGGTCTCTGCTAATTTAAAGAAGGGAGAAACTTCCCAACTTTACATAGAAACAAAGGCGGAGACAGAGATGTCGACTCGATTGGACCCAGACGAGTTGATTGAAGAGAAAAAGTTGGGGGAAGGCTCTTTTGGTGTTATTTTTAAAGGAGATTTTAGAGGTAATGTAGTGGCAATTAAAAAGATGAAACAATTAAATAACACTAACAACGCACTTACAGAATTTGAGAAGGAAGTTTCGATGTTGGACAAGTTCCGATGTGATTATATAGTCCACTTCTATGGCGCCGTATTTGTACCCAACAAGATCTGTATGGTCACTGAATTTGCACAATTTGGAAGTTTAAATGACTTGATAAAACACAAAAAGGCTGAAGAAGTCGAAAATAAGTTGCGTATCAAGTTCATGTATGACGCAGCAAAAGGGATATTGTATTTACACAACAATGGAATAATGCACAGAGATATCAAACCAGACAACATTCTTGTCTTTTCACTTGATTTGAACGTAAAAGTAAATGCCAAATTGACTGATTTTGGAAGTAGTAGAAACGTTAATATGTTAATGACTAACATGACATTCACTAAAGGCGTTGGTACACCAACTTATATGGCACCTGAAATTTTGAACAAAGAAAAGTATAAAAAGAGTGCTGACATTTATTCATTTGGAGTAACGTTTTATGAAACATTAAAGTGGGGAGAAGCGTATGACAAAGAGGAATTCAAATTTCCCTGGAAAATAGCCGAGTTTGTGATTTCGGGAAAAAGACTTGATAAAGAGGAAAATATGAATGAAAAACATTTCAAATTGATACAAAATTGTTGGAACCAAAGACCAGAAGATAGACCACATATTGATGAAGTAATAAAAAGTGTGGAAACTATTTAAGTGAATAATAATTAAAAATTATTTACACTATAGAATAAATATATTTTAATATAATAAAAATCAACCCTACACAAGGGAGACACCACAAAATGCGAGTCGTCAAAAGTAGCTATCGATACCTCCGATAAGCTAGATCTCCCACCGGAAGTTGGCCCGGTGGCTGAATGGGGTCTGGTAAACCCTAAAGGCAATTTCCCAGGAAGAGTAAGTCGAGCCTTGTCACCTCGCATCTTCGCCGTTCCAGTAAGTCCCAACTCTGTGTTTTCAAAGGCTTTGAAGGAAACGCTCTGGACTTAGAGAGTCAGATTGTCTCTCCATTGATCATTAAAACAAATTCTTGCCATTTGAATAGTATAGGACCACTATTTAATATTGGTTTGGATAAAACTTGGTAATACCAGGGGCAAAGATGTGGGTTATAAATGATGACTCCTCGGCGCTATGTAGACTCTTTAAACAAGAGTAAAACATAATTGATTTTTTCTCGTTTTTATTGTTTTTTATGATTTTTATAATATTTAATGAAAGTGGTTATATTTGTAATAAATAACATGATATTTTTTTTAATGTATACAACATTTTTATTAAAATAAAAATCATTTTCTAAAATATATAAAATTTTAAATAAATTATATAACATTTATTTGAAAATAATTAACATTTTTATTAATAATATGAGTATTTCGATTATTAGGTATATTAACACACATTATTATCAAATAATGATTGTTAAAAACAATATAATATAAATAAAAAGTTTTTCAAAACTCTGTACTGGGATGCCCCGATTTTATAGACAAATAATTTCTAAATAATTTTTCCTTTGCTTAACCCTCATTTTTTGTTATAAATATTTACTCGAAAAAAACAAAATAACGAACCTGACTTTTTTAAATTTAACTTGACAAATAAATCTTGCACCAAAAATTTACTTGAAAAATATAAAAAACAAACTTGGGATTTAAATTTTGATTACCATAACCCAATTTTTGCCAAAAACACAAAACACAACTTTATAATTAAATGCCCATGTTTACAGAATCGCCAAGTCGTGTTTTGTATAAAAATGAAAAGTATTAATGAGTAAAACAAGCATTGAAAGAAGATAAATAGGTTAAGACTTACAATTGAAAAGTTATTTTTTATTTTTGAACTGTTTATTTTATTTTAGACTCTTTTGATTAATAATCTTGATTGTTTAAATGTTTGTTTTATGTTATTGATGACTTTTTTAATTGTTGAAATAAACAAAAACTTATTATTAGTTAAAGTGTTGTATCATTTGATGCAATTGTCCTTCATCACAACATTGGTTTTTATATTATCGTTTATTTTGTGTTTGTTAGAAAGATAGAATTTTACTGACGTTTAGTTACAAAAAAAACCACTGACCAAATAACGAACCTGGAAAATCGGGGAAGATTTACCCAATATTTGGGTGATTTCCTGATTTTTTGTTCAATAATTGAAACTGTATTGGTTTTTAAGGGTTTTAAACTGTGTACCGTTGTTGGTTCAACAAATAGGAAAATAGATAATGAAACAAATAAAAAACAGTAAATAATAGGAAATTAAGACAAAGGGTTTTTATAAATTTTGGAAACTGTACAGAGTTTTGAAATACAGTTTATATATACAGTTAGTTTCACAAGAATTATTTATTTTTCATAACAAATAGATTTTCGTTTCATATTTCAATAATTTGAGGATAAATAAATAGTTATGAAACACCCGATATTGATATGCAACAATAATGCCAATTATGCTACAATCACGCAAATTGTGAAACAAAAAAAATAATAATTTTGAAACAGGGCTGAACAAAGGTACAAATCTATTTGTTATGAAAAATAAGGAATTGTTGTGAAACTAACTGTAACATATTACAATAAATATTATATTTTACTATATTTTTATTGTTTTTTGAAGTACTTTTATATAATATTTTTTAACATTTTATATATAAATTTAATAATTATAATTATAATTGTTAATTTAAAATAATTTAATTGTGATCTATATTAAAACACACCAACAAACAAACTGACTGACAGTTTTAAGTAAATAAATACTTATAAATATGTTAAATATATGATTCAGTAATAGCTTTGATAAAATTTACAAAAAGATTAAACAATAAAATGCACATAATTGTAGTAGTTTTGTTTCAAACACTCTGTTTATGCATCAATGAAGAACAGAGTAGTTTCATTTGTTTTCCTGTGAATAATAACTCTTCTGTTCTATCAAAGTATTGCACGTTTATAAAGCAAACTAATTGTATTAACAACACCAAGTATAGTGATTTAATGTTTTGTTATAGTCCATTCTATGACATTTTTTTCTTTATTAACTTGGTATATTAAACCATTATATGATGTTTGAAAGTGATGAAAAGCAATAATAATTCAATTTTAACAAGTAATCGCAAGGTGACAACTATGTTCTGGTTGATTTCACTTAACTATGTTAAGAAAAGTTTGGTTAATAACAAATTCTATTTTAATAAGTTAAATTATTATTTAATCGTTATTAAACAATTTCTAATATTTTATGATATTATCAATTATAATTAATAGTTTTATTTTATATAGTATAAATATTATATTATTAAACTATTTTTTATATACTATACATTTTAATATTTTATAGTTTATATGTTAACTGTCGTTTTAAGTAGAATAACTACCGCGGCAAAAAGTCTTCATCTGTAAAGAAAAAGTTTTGGCGATCGTAAAAACAAACATAACTAGAGTCAGTCAAACAACATTGTCCTTTCTTCAAACCCAATCCTTTCAATTTTATATTTTTAGAATCAAAAACAAATTTATCCAAAATTTAAATCAAAGACAAATCTAACATTTGTTAACCACAAGTTTTCAAAAATAGAAAAATAATGTTGATTTTAAGTAAATATTGTGATTATTTTGTCAAAACAAAAATTTTATTTTGATGTCTTTTTCCCTATTTTTGGCAAAAGTCAACTTAACTAAAAATGAAACTGTGATAATAAAAAATATATAAAAACGATTTTAACACGGGACCTACATTGACCACCACCACCTCTTAAAATAGATTTATTTTTTCTATTTCGAATCATATTCAAATTAAAATTATAGTAAATAGGAAACTGGGATAATATTAGGTCTGGTTCCCGAATTCAAAAAATGCCGAAAAATCACCTTGATTTAGTGGAAACCGAGTAAGACGGAGCATTGAAAAGAAGGCTCTAAAGACACACTCAAACAGTCTGTTTGTGCACCGTTTCACCCACTTTCCAAGTCCTCCCTTGGCGCGGATCCCCCCTGACCCCCCCAGCAAGCGGGGGGAACCACATCCGCGTCCACGCAGTACGGACAAGGAAAGTGGGTGACATGGGGACGCACAAACAGTGGCTGAAAAATGGACTTCCTTCAAAAAACACTTGCGGCAAATATTTTTTTGATAAAGGTGG